ACGGCACCCATTCACTGCAGAGGATCCATTGGTGAGCAAGTGATGTAATTCTACATTTCTCCAAATCTGTTCACATAAAAACACTTTCAGTTTGGGTGAATTATTCCTTTGATAAATTTGATCTATCAAAGCATCCAAACATATCTGAAATCCTACAGAAAGTACAGACTTTAGTATAAATAAAATATAAACACACTTTATAAATAATTAATAATTGTGAAATATGATAGAAATTCTTAAGCTTTTCCAATCTTAAAGTGTATAAAAAATAATAATAAAACAGCTATCTTGGTTACTATCTTAAGTACAAATTAAAAAGGCAACGCACCAACACTGACATGTTCATCCTCTTATGAAATTACTCTCATCACTGCATTTTCAATTTCAGGGCTGCATTTTGGACAGAGCTGCATATTAATATCTTGGAGAAACTGTAAACATCAAAAAATGCATAGAAATCAGTGTATGAATACTGCATGATGTTGTTTGCTGCACACACTGGCCACTGCAGATATCAAATACTGCTGTAATTTAAACTGCAGCCAAGTACCTGGAGACACATTTGATGGGGCATTTTATTCTCTCTCCATAGGGACTCTTACTCGAAGAGTGTATGCGTTCCATGCACATGACCCAAAGCAGCATTTTGAACACTTTTTCAGGACATGGGTTACCGAAAGGAAAAATAGGCCAGTGTCTTGGCAATACTGTCATAGGGAGGACAGCCAAGATCGCACAGAAGATGAAATATTTTCCATGGACAAGTAACACTCGCATTCACACACACATGCAGGCGTATGCTGAGCAATTACAGGAGACCAAAGAAACCTTGTCCTGTGCTTTAACGCACACATTAGACAGAAACATTTCTGATGAAAGCATTCAACACCACCACTAGCCATTGAACAAAAATGATTTTAATGAAGTATCTGATCAATACAGACCTATAAAATTTTCATTAAGCAATAACTTAACCGCCTGTCAGCAGGACTGCACCAACCCTGAATAATTGAACAAATAAACCAACGGATTAAAAAATTATCAAAAATATTCGGATCAATTGATTAACAGAAAAATAAACAAATAACCAATGATCAACTTTTATTCAAATAATTAAAAGTGTGCATATAAGAAAAATGAATCGTGGAATTTGTAATTCAATAAGTACTAATTAATTTATAATATTTTACTGAATTATAAAAAAAATAATTCAATAAACAATTCAGTACTTTAATTGGTTTCATAAATTGAAGAATTCTCTAATCAGATTAAAATAAATACTTCACAGTTTAAGAGATTATAAAGTCAACATTTTATCAAAGATTCTATAAACCTTTAATTTACTTTTACAATTGAATTGAATTAGACAATTAGCAATCTGAATAACAGAAATAAGCAGATGAACTCATTAATAAAAGTAACTGGATTAATCAATTGAATAAATGTTTCTCAAAAGTATTCTAATTGCTTGCAATTTTAAATCAAATTAATTAATCAATAACCAACTGAATACATAAGTTTCTTAAAAGTAATTTGATTAATTGATTGGAATTTATTTTTAAATAATCAAATTAATTGATAATCGATTGAAGAAATAAGGTTCTTAAAATTAAATGATTGAAAAATGTTATTAATTATCAAAAGTAATCTGATTAAAGAAATACTTCACTGATTAATAAATTATAGTCTAAATTTATCAAACATTTAATAAACTTTGACTTTTAATCAATTAAGCTACTGATTATTTCTCCAATAAATCAATGAAAAATAACCTGATTATCTAAAGAAATAATAGACATTAATCAATTAAGTCTATTCAAGTATTGAACATATTGTTGTGAATTTGAATGACTCTAAATAATAAACCATTTATTCTTTGAATTAATTCATCTGAAAAAGTAATAAAAAAAAAAACCTACACGTAACGAGAGAGGCAGGAAAAAGAGAATGCTGGGTAGTCCACTCATTGCGATCCTGCCACGTCAGTAACAGGAGGATCAATGAAACAAGACTTTCCTTCATTTCTTCTGATGAAAAACTGTTTCTCACTCTCTAGTCTGCACATTCAGCATTTGAATACGAGCACTTGTTTCATCTTGGTGGGCCGAGTGATTCAAGGACATCGCTAAACCTTCAACTACTGTACTGAGAGTTCAGCAAGTTCAAGAATGAGTCGAGTTTCCGTATGACAAACAATATACTCTCACTGGATTCAAAGCGGCCAAACACTCATACTGATATGTAAACCTATACGTTTGATCGCACTCAACAAATACTGAATGCAACTAGGGCTGGGTACCGTTCACATTTTAACCGGTACGGTACTGGTATCGGTACCTGAATTTCAGTGTCGGTACCCAACGGTACCTTTTTTCGGTACTTTACTCTGTGTAATCACAAAAACATTTATTCCAGTGAAAAAACAAGTCCAAAAGTCACAATTTCAAAATTTTGAACAATAGGGCCCTACAAACTTTTTCTTTCTTTCTTTTTTCCCACCAGAAATTCTTGTTTTAATTTGTCTGAAAATCAAATGGAGGCATTAAACATTTATTTTAAATCAAATGAAAATTAAAAGGAAGAAAAACTGTGTGAATATTCCTTTAAAACATATATTTCTGTTACATGTTAAATCGTACTTTTATTTTGACAGGTTGCCATGAAGCTACTGTGTGTATACAGTATGACGATGCTAGTTCTCTCAAATGAAATGGTAAAATTCTCGCGAAGTGACTCCCACAGCAGCTCTGGAGATTACGTTTTTGTGTTCATGCCGTCATATAGTGAGACGCAGAGGCCGAAAATCACCGCGAGCGTCACTCGTGCTTCAGTATTTGTATAGTAAACAAAACCGCATTTCCGCCATTCATTCATACATACAGAGGCAAGCGGAACATGCAGGATTCATATTTAAACCGTCTTTTTGCATTTTAATATTCACAGACACTAGTTCATATCGCGATTCGAATTAAGTCACAGTGGCTACTTTTCATTTATTCGTCCAAAATTGACGAATTCCGTGGCATTCTGCACTATAGAGTAAATCACGTTTTTATGAATGGACTCCTCGTTTTCGCAGAAACCATATGGCCCTAGAAATGTAAGCACATTTCACAACATTTCGGCTTGCCCTGTGTGTTGTTTGAACGAGTTGCAGGGGTGACCTCACGTCACAGGGTTTCTTTCTCTCTCTGTAGCATATGTGCCTAGATGCGTTCTCAGGTACCGAAATTTGGCACCGATTGATTTAATGTGAATCGGTACTCGGTAGTACCGATGCAATTCGGTCGGTACCCTTAAAAGTACCGAGTTTGGTACCCGACCCTAAACGCAACATCCAAAAGAGGCGACTGATGGACATTTGCCATGGCTTTTCCTAGTTAACTGCATCCGTAAGGCATTCCTGTCTGCAAAAGTCTTTGCCAAGAACATAAACACGCATTAGAGACATACATTTCCCCCACTTTCACAGGGATCGTGACTTTGTGTCAGACTTTGGTGAGGTTTGTTTGGAAACCCGATTCTGGATCAGTACTGGCTCAGCAGCTCTATTCATTAAAGCTGAAATCTCCATGGAAAGGAGGCAGATCAGTTCACTTCCTGTCCTCAAAGACTGCTGATCACGCACAACCCACCCGCAACCCCTATCTTTTCCCTTCTCTCCATCTCTCTCACTATTGTGCGATTTGGACTCGGTCCACGCTCTGCCTTCAGTTTTCGGTGCCGGTTCGGGACACAGTGATGAATGAACCCAAGACTGCTGGATCTTGGCCCCAAACAACGCGTTTCATATTTAGTCATTCCCAGTGAAAGCCCACTTTATGGCCCGGCTCTTGGCTGCCGTTCCTGGACTGACACTGCTCTCGTCCATGTCGCTTTCACCTAGACATGGACGAGCAACTTAAGTAGTAGGTCTGATGGGAAAGAATGGCATATTTGTGAATCAGATTTCATCCGAAATACATAATACAAACACTAGTTGTTTCTTTGCCAATCTTATTCCTTCCCTTATCCAGTTCTACAATCGACAATTTTAACCCAACTTCAAGTCCGATTTTTTTTTAAATGGCCTTTTTTGAACAATCCAAGTAAATTACTATCAAAAAACATCTGGTTGATGTATCAAAAATCTATTAATAACCAAATACATGATGTGCTTAAAGTGTAACTCGTCACCTGGATGTGCTGCAAGAGGAATTTTGGAAAAATAAGGAAACACTTCTAACAAATGCTTCCTTATAAGGCAAGAGACGGAAATTTCTAAGAACAACAGGGTACATTTCTTCACTCAAAACATACAGTGGCACCAAAAGGTATTTGGACACTTTTAGATATTTAATTATTTGAAAATCAGTTATAACACATTAAAAAAAGTGGCATCTGCAAACAAAACTGTGAGCACTTTTGTCAGATTGTTTTAAACTAACTGGTGTTAAGGTGTTTTCACCTTCACAAAGCTGACCTATCAGATGTGTAGTTCATCACATTAACTATGAACATGTTCCACTAACATTTGATAACCAGAACATACACGAGAGAGTGGCGTACTTACTCAAAATGCCACTCTCTCGAGAACGAGCATACGACAGTTAGCTGAAGCAAGAGTTTTATAAAGTTTTAAATATGGATATTTTCTTACACAGACGCATCACTTTGCTTCAGCAGGCCTTTATTAACCCCTGGAGCCATGTGGGACACTTTTTATTATGGATTTATGCACTTTATTGGACTTCAAAATCTCAACAGCCATTCACTCCCATTATAAAGCTTGGAAGAGCCAGGACATTTTTTTTAATATAACTATGATTGTATTTGTCTGAAAGAAGAAAGTCATATACACCTAGGATGGCTTGAGGGAGAGTAAATCATGGGGTAGGCCTAATTTTCCATTTTTGGGTGAACTATCCCTTTATGTTGATTAATGTATGTACTGTTTTATCATGCTTAAAACTTATCTCTGTAAAATGTTGTGATCCAAAAGTGTATTATACTGCATAATTTGAAATAACTTCATAAATAAATGTTCTTTGGATTTATATTTTGCAAATAAAGACATTCAAACATTTGGACAAGTGTCAAAATACTATAACTATGGGCCCTCAAGTAGGGCAGACAAGACAGCCATAGATAACTTGTGTAAAGAGCAAATATCTTCACTTTTGACAATTTAAAGCAAAATTAGATATAATTACGTAATCAGGGATGTAGACGTTGTTTCAATTTAGCAGGGACAGCTAACTGAAAGTTTCCTTTCAACACAAATTTGATGCTTCCAGAAATTAAAAAATAATTAAACTTATTAACACTTTGAGAAGAAATGGATAGCTAGCCTACTTGAGACTGAACAGACACAACAGTCTTACTATATTTTGTGCCAACTAAAGGCAGTAACAGACAGAGAGAATAGCAGATAGAAATACATACAGAAAGAAAAAGATAGAAAAATAGGTAGATAGATTGACAGACAGACAGAATAACAGATAGAAAGACAAGTAGATAGACAGTGATAGCTTCACATATAGATAGCTAGAAGGATAGATGTACAAACGTAGATAGATAGATAACTGACATCAGGTCATCTGAGACATTAGCTGTGACCCAAAGGCTAAGACTATAGTGAGCTGCCAACATAGACAGCATATTTGGGCATCATCGGCACGTGCATCATTTAGCTGACTCAGAATGCACTTAAGATGCTGTCTTCGTAGGCAGCTCACTAGGTTTTGTCGACCCAGCCTTCACTCAAGCAGAAGGCCTACTGCCATTTACTCGGAAATCACATGGAATATATAATTACCAACTCACAATCATACGAATAGCTTACACTACAACATCTAACTTCAATAACAGAAGTATCATTTGCTTTGACAGTGAGGAGGATGTTCCCAATGCGTCCTGATGGACATCACAAACGCGTTAAAACACAACTGCCTTGCCAGAAGTTACCGCCGTTCGTTTGCATCGCATCACTGGATATTGGAAAAGCAGGGTGGTTTGCATGTGAACTTGCGGTTAAAGGACTACAGATCGGCCGTAAGAGTAAACGCAACTTACGATGCATTTCCTGCCCAGGTAGTTGAACAGACACTCGTTCTCCTGCGGGGTCAGAAGCAGAGAGCCCACGTTTGCCACCCTCCTATGGGGCGGGTGGCCGCTCATGTTGACGGATGAGGCGTTTGAATTTGAGCGTTTGTCTCCTGTTAGATTATTTTATGTGCAATCACAGATCAACATGGCCTGCGCTCCGTTCATCCCGTAAGGAATTCCGCATACATGTAGAGCCGATGTAGTGTTGTCCTCAATGCGCGGGCGATGCAGGTGCGACTCGTTAACTCCTGTGGCTTATTTATTCTTTAATTCGTTCACGTTTGACAGACTGCATGATATAAACTTTCATTCCGAACTCCTAAAGCAATAACGATCCTTCAATCCAACATGGCAGCAGGACGGTAGAGTTGAAAGCGCAGTTTGAGAAAGGGTAGAAAGAAATTCGGTCGGGCCAGGTGTTAGCTTTTCTGTACAAACATACTCTTTTGTTGTTATTTAGTTACAAAATACTAAATTTAAAATCACAAAAACAATTCTGTATTGTCTAAACGTGAGTTAATGCGAATTAAAACAGTGATCCGTAATCACTAAACCCCTCTAGTTTCTCGGAATGGTCTATCCCTGTTTTCCCGTGCCTCCTGCAGAATGCGGACGGGATGCGCACGGGATGGGCGGGGCCTCTGAGGCAGAGGGGAGAGCACAGCGCCGTCATTGATAGAAGGAGATTACAGTATTTTGACGATCTGTTTTAAAGATAGGATAACTATGCTGCTGTTTCATAAAGCGGATAATTTCTATTAAAGCTTCTGAATGGTAAATATACAGCTTAAAATCCATAATATAGTATTATGACGAGAAATACCTGTTCATTGTATCACTGCGCAGCTACATTGCTGTTACATTGCAACGTTTGATAAGGGACTATATAGTTTGTAGTGGAAGGATACCACTTATAATTTTGTAATTTTATATATTTTTGAATTTATTTTTTAAATGTACTTATTGGTTTTTAATATGTTGTATTTTAATTGGTTTTCAGACTTTATTACCATAAAAATATTAAAACTTTTTTTTATAGTTTGCAGAATTTATGCACACACGTCTATCTCATATCCATACTGATTAGAATATATATTTGATATACTGATATATTTGATATGCTTTGATATACTAAACACACACCCACACACACACACACACACACACACACACACACACACACACACACACACACACACGTGTGTGTGCAATAATGCATTTTCGTTCAATGCATTTTTTGATTATTTTAAAAATTGGTTCCAAAATATATGTAAAAAACTAAAAATTATATATATATATATATATATATATATATATATAATTTAACAACTACAGAATCTGTTCTAGTATCTATCTGTACTAGTATGGGCTGTTTTTGTATTCTTTTGAATTTTTGACCATTTTTATAAATAAATAAACCCGAGCACCAGATCTTGGAAGTTGAGCCAACCCGAGATGTTTTATAAGGTGAAAGTCTGGCTTTCCTCAGTCCAGACTATAAACTATAATTTTAACATTTTTTTACCACTAATTGAAACCACCAGTTATATTCTATTTGGAGGATAACAGTGATCACACAATTGGCATATCTGTGTGGCTGCTGTATGTTTAGACAGTCTTTTCTCACGAGATAATGATGCCTTCAGTTTTCCATGGCGATTCAGCACATTATACACTGTTATTACAGAGCAAAAAAACTTCACTTTGCAATAAACCAGTAATTTCAGTGTAATTAATAAGAAGGCAAGATAAAGAGCTATCACTTTAACCCATAGAACCAAAAACTTTTGGAGCCCAGAAATTATAACCTCACTATATGGAGAATCAGACAATTTAAGATTATTGTTATTAAAAAAACTTTTCACAGCTATACTTTTATTTATTGATTAATTAATAATTGTCCAGTCTTATGTAACAGCATCAGGGACAGAGTTCACCTTGTTCTTTCCCTACCAATGAACAAATGAAGAACAGAGAGGCAAAAAAAGAGACAGATGGAGGATCTTGTTTGAAAGCGGAGCCCTGCCAGGGGACACCTGGCCTCCTGTTAAACTTTGCTATTGCACTGCATGTTCAACACATAAAAAATATTTTTTTTTTTTTTTTTTTTGACCGATATGTTATTTATTTTCTTGTATTTCTGTACTTCGGTCACCACGACCAATCTTTCTGGCTCATTCTGAGTCTGATCTCCACTAGATGGCGAGATTGACTAACAGCTCTTTTATGTTAATCTATTTATGAACTGTTGCTCCCTTTTTAAATTATATTTTACCTTAAATTATTGCAAGTGATATTTACCTTGATTTTTTCTTGTTTATTCAAATATCACGTCTCATATTTCATTTGCTGTCTCTTCACTGACATAACTGTAAACAAGTAGGCCTACACTAACTTTTGAATGAATGCATAAATGAATAAATTAATACATTTTAATGCTTCTTATTTGTTCCACTCTCTGTATATAATAATAAACGTAATAATGAATATTCCTATTGAATATTTTTAGATTTGAAGATAAATTCTGGATCTGGGACGACATATTTTTAAAGCAGCAAACATAAACAATGAGGAAATATTTACAAGATCGTTTTAATGCGACATTTATAATACTAATATTAAGGAGATTCCATTTTACTTTATTAACTACGGTTACCATGGTACTGAAGAATATAAACAAAGACGTTATTATTTTCTTTTGCTTTATTAATGCGCGATGTTGATTTTTCGATTATCTGGCAACTTCAGGAGTCAGCTGACCTGCTGAGGACAGTCAGGCACATCGCACCGCAGCGCTACTGTAACAAAAGAGTGATCGATCCCTGCGGTTTTATTTAGCGATCATGAGCAGCACACAGTCTTACTGTCGCTTCAGTGATGAAAACTACAAAAACTGGCTGAAAACAACGGAGAGTCTTTACATACTGAGGAACCGCATTCAGGACTTCATAGAAAAGGAAACCGAAACTTATCACAGCTCTCTTCAAAACAAATCTCATCTCCATAGACAGACCTGTACGCGATCGTGCAAACTTGCGAATAAGGTAAATTATGGTAAATAAGCTAAATTAGGCAAAAATGTAAAGTCAAAGTAAACAATAGGAATAGCCTTCATTAAAAATCACTTTTTAAATGATCTCAACGTAGTAGGCTACTGTATAAATTTAGACAACGTAGAAATACAGTGTAATCTATCTGTCTGCCTGTCTGTCTGTCATACAGACAGAATATATTTATGCTACATTTCTATATAGGCCTACTGAATGCTATTATTCCTACTTAACACAACAAATTTAGAATAATAGTAATGTCATTGCCATAATAAATAAAAAGAGTATCAACACAAATGGAAATATGGCAGTACACCAAAAAGTGTAAAAGACTGTCAGTTAAAATCAAAGTTTCTGGGAGTGTCTGTGCATGTCTCTCAAACTGTGTTTTGCTTCTTCCCGCAGCCTGTCTGCCAGTTGTGTGAACACTGGAAGAATGAAATCATTGCCAATCATAATGGGAAGGGTAATAGTATACACTGGGAGAACTGCCGGCCACATCTATGGCCCACAGATAAGTGGGAAGTTGCCAAAGTAAGTTGCTTTCATAATTAATAACTACTGCATTAAATAGAGTGTTGCCTCTGAGTGCTGTCTGTTAAAATGTTTTGTTGCATATGGGGAGGCTTATATTTAGAAATGTCAGCGATCAAAAATCTATGTGCATTACATTTTTAACTTTGTTAACTGCATGTTTCACATATTTCTTATGGCAGGCACATATGCCACGTGGGCACAAAGAACATCGCAAGTTTGACCAGTTTGATATTGCTGCCATCCTGAACTTAATGAGTTCCTGTAAACATTTCAAGAGCATCCCAGGACAATCTGTGATTAACGTAAGTATTCTGAAAATCCAATTTTTCCCTTCAAATTCTCTTTTTTTAACATTACATCATTCAGAACCTCTATATTTGTGATAAAACTTCTCAAAAGCTTAGTGCTATGGTATGTGACCACCGTATCGGTATGGATAGTCAAATACTGTAGCTCTCATGTTGTGCTGGATAACACATTTCACACTTTTTTTTCAACAATTCAGGTAATAACGGTACGAAACAAATTGATGCATTCGCCTGACTTCAAAGTCAGCAATGAGGACATGAAAAATCATCACAAAACAGTCCTGCAGCTGGCCGAGAAGCTCCAACCTCATGTCCCAGAAATGAAAGACTTGGAAAAGAAGATAACACAGGTGGATGGAAAATTATTATTATTATTAATTGTAAGACCTGGTTATTATGGAAGTTATTATTATTTTTACTATTATCAATAGTGATTAGGATAATGTTGCTCTACAATATAATTGTATTATTTATTATTAAATTCAGTACTTACGGGAAAGTTTTTCAATTTTCTGTATAGTTTCATAACACCTTGGACAAGAATTTCAATCAAGCCCCGTGTGAGGTAGATGGCCAACTGGAAGATCTCCAGACCATGAAAGACTTCCAGAAAGTTCTGGACCGTGAGCAGCAAGCCATTAAAGACAGGATTGAAGACTTTTTCTCACGCTTTGAGGGGAACCAAGATGAAAATGTCAAAGTAAGTACAGTAGATCAACACTATACGTTTAAGCAGTTAAGTGTGAACTGCATCATGTTTGTTCTTAAACATGACTTTATGTTAAGGACATGAAGAGTCTCCTGGACTTCCTGGACCAAAACAAAGATCTCCTGGAGAACCTGGGCCCTGAAGTCAACAAACTGAAAGAGATGCAGGCAAAAGTAGATCAACATGAGGAGCAGATCAGCAACCTGACAGGCAGAGTGGACCAACTGGAGAAAGTGACGCATGGTATGAAGAACTGAGAAGAATATAATACCATTAGTTTTTATGTTTGATTTAATCATTTAGCAATATTTAGTTTCTACATGATGCTTCTAATGTGTTCTATGGGCCAAAAGTGAACTCACAAACAAAGTTTAGTGACGCATAATATCCCATGAAAATTACAAATTGAAAAACGTTAAAATTATGATTAAGAGGAGGTCGATCCATTGTGAGAAAGAAGTACACTTTATTATACTTTTAAAAACAGTACTATGTAATAGCAATATACTTTAAAAGAATATACTTAAGTGTGAACTGAATGTAATGTTTTCAGACACATGGAAATTTATTTTAGTTAACTTATATTAAATGCAATTAGTATTTAACTTGTTTGCCATATATTTAAATAAATTTGTAATTACATATTCGTAACAATGAAGTTGCAATGCTGTAATGTTATAAAGTTGTAATGAACTCAAATAAGTCAGTACCTCAAAATAAGCGTACTTCTTTAAGGCAATTCAAACATAATGATTTAAAAA